GTATTTTAAAATACAATGGCATTTGAGAGTTATTAAATGCACCGTGTGGTAACTTCCTACATGTTTTGCAACAGAAGTGAAGCAAATGGTTGCATAAGGAGTGCAAATAACCAAAAACCTCTGCGTTTTGTTTTTTGAACTTACCAATCCAAACTTGATTTCCATAGTATATTCAGTATCAACAGTATCACTGGCATGGCAGTATGTTCAAGTGACACTCAACATGGAAGCATCCTCACCCAAACAAACAAACATTTTTACCGTTAATCATTAGTAAGATGATGAAAAGAATCAATGATTGATAATAAAGTCGTAACATTTAATGATTAAATACAATGGCTAATATTCAACGGTTTAATAGGGTCACCTCAAATTTACAGACTAGCTGCTTGTACAGTGCTATTTTTCTGTGTGAGCAAATAGGTTTTGTTATTGTAAATGTTATTTTCTTCCTAATCAGCATGGTTTACACTCACCTGCCACTTTATTAGGGATACCTGAGGCTACAATTCTCACAGGTTCACCAAAATTGGACAGTAGAAGATTGGAAAAACGTTGCCTGGTCTGATGAGTCTCGATTTCTGCTGTGATCTTTGAATGGTAGGGTCAGAATTTGGCTTCAACAACATAAAAGCATGGATTCATCCCGGCTTGTATCAACGGTTTAGACTGGTGGTGGTGGGGGATATTTTCTTGGCACACTTTGGGCCTGTTAGTACCAACTGAGCATTGTGTCAATGCCACAGCCTACCTGAGGATTGTTGATGACCATGTCCAATATGACCACAGTGTACCCATCTTCTGATGGCTACTTCCAGCAGGATAATGCGCCATGTCATTAGGCTTGAATCATCTCAGACTGGTTTCTTGAACATGACAATGAGTTCACCGTACTGAAATGGACTGCACAGTCCCCACACTCAATCCAATAGAGCACTTTTGGGATGTGGTGGACCAGTAGAATCACATCATGGTTTTGCAGCAGACAAATCTGCAGACACTGCTTGATGCTATCATGTCAATATGGACCAAAATCTCTGAGGAATATTTCCAGTACCTTGTTGAATCTATGCCATAAAGGATTAAGGCAAAAGGGGTCCAACCCTCTACTAGTAAGTTGTACCTAATAAAATGGCCGGTGAGTGTATTACACACTCGAAGGAAATTCTGGAGAATGAAATGCATTCAACTCTCGCTCATTTTCTTCATTACTTCCTGACATCTGCTGTAGATGCTTTGGACATAACCTTCATGTGCCTCAAATCATTAATGACATCCGTTCTTATTTGACCATCAAAAATCCGTATCGATTTATGGGTTTATCAACAATTCAAATAGTTGTTGGCATCTCAAATCTTGATGTCTATCACAGTATTCTTTACTTGTTTGCAGTTGCGATTTCATCCAATGGCTCTCTTCAGCTGGCCAGTGCTGGTTCAGAGGGTGTACAAGGCCTACAGACTCTCACCATGTCCAACTCCAACCCAAGCCAGCCAACTATACTGCAATATGCTCAGACTGCCGACGGACAACAGATTCTGCTGCCTAGCAACCAGGTGGTTCTCCAAGGTTGGCACACAAAGACGAAAAGACACTTTGTATTTGAAAATCGGCTCGTATTGTTGCTTTAGTAGACGTGGGAGACACTCTGGCTATGATTCTGTGTTGTAGGTGCAGGAGGAGAAATGCAAGCTTATCAGATCCGCTCCTCTTCCTCCTCGCTGCCTCAGACTGTTGTCATGACTTCACCTGTTATCAACTCTCAGGGCAAGAGCGACGACCCACAAATGAAGAGAGAGATACGGCTGGCCAAGAACAGGTGGGTGCATTTGTGTGGAAGGTAATTGGTTTGTTTAGAGATATGAAGTTGGTTGGTAACGTATCCACCTTTTTCCACTTGTGACTACTGCACGTCTAATTACGGTTCCATTCAAAGCGATTAAAAAAAATGAGTTCACATAAGTTTGCTCTACAAATAATCCATATCAGTAGTGAAAAGTGAGTGAGAGGTATGTTTGAGTTTTTTTTTTTTGCTTGATTTTAATGTCAGAATTTTACGTTGGTATTTTATCGAGACGTTACTATCACAAGCACATTTGTGGCTCTTTTGAGTCTGTTGTGTTTTGATCCTCTTGATCAGTGGTCTTCAACATTTTATCACCGCGGACCGATCAATGCTTAACAATTTTACCACGGCCCGGGGGCAGGGGGTGGTGTTGGGGTATATGTAGATTGGTAGGCGACCACCGTTTTCTCAGAGGATGACAAGCTGACAAAACATTGCTGCAACTCTGATACAAGTTTTATCTATGAAGAAAATTAAAAAGCCCTGCAGTGTTTAAAATGTCTGTGTTTTTCTGCAATTAACTAGTCTACCGAAATGTGTATATCCCATACTAAAGTATGCTGACCGGTCAGTTATTGTTACGTGACTCTTGGTGCACTCGCAGCATTGAAAAGTTGAGATGTTTTTAATTGGGTGGTCCTAGATGCCGCAAGCGTGTCCTTCTCAATATGCGCTGCTTGCCTCCATTGGAAATGACAAACTTGCACATGGAAAAGATGCAATATGTGATCGGCCCCTAAGGCTGCCGTCATTTGCGATCTCCAGCAGTTGATCTTCTTCTTGCACAGACATGCTGGATTCACCTGATTTGATGACAAATGTGTTGCGGATTGATTCCTTGGCAGTCTGTAGGTTCTTCACAGAGCCTTTTCCCATTCACCAAGAAACTTTCCAGCTGTTTCTTACTCATTTTGCTGGCCTGTGGGTTAAATTTTGGTGCGCAAGTGACCGAGATGTAACCGAGAGAATAGGGTCATTTTTCAAAATAAAAGATTTTCAAAATAAAAGATCGTTCAGACTAGGATAATAAATAAAACAAAAATAATTGATGATTTCTTGTGTGGCCTGGTACCAATTGATCTATGGATTGTTACCGGTCTGCGTTCTGGAGGTTGGGGACCACTGCACTAGATCATATTTTCTTATAGTATTTTAAACACTACAATAATATTCAACATACCTCCATAATATTACACTGTAGCAAGTTTTTTTTTTTTCACCATAAAAACAACTATAGTAGCTGGCATGGCATTAAACACAAACAAAAAAACTTGTGGTGACGAAAACCCAATCATATTTCTGCCTTGCGTTGTTTGTCTGGACCAAAAGATGCACATACAAGAACCAATACAGGTTGTATTATCATTCGAGAAAGGGAAACCATGCCAGTTCAACATCAAACGTTTTTTCACGTGAACCTGACATGAGGACATGTGTAGCACACACCTCACAAACTAGCTGGACAAATGCTTACAGACAGCTTGACACTGCCTATAAACCGAATGTTGGCTTGGTGTGTCCCAGGCTTTAAGAATTCTTTGATTATATGTGATCTGCTGAAAGTAACTTGTTAAAGGATTAGTTTATTCATAATTGAAAATTCTGTTATTAATAATTTGCCCTCATGTCATTTCAATCCCTGAAACATTTGTTCATCTTCAGAACATAAATTTAAATGATTTAAATGAAATCTGAGAGCTTCCTTATCCTCCATAGTCAGCCATGGTTTGTTTACTGCAAGTCATTCAAGTACAGAATATGAACAAAAAAACAATATCAAAACATTCTATGTGGTTCAACTGTAATCATACGAAGCTCCAATAACACTTTTGTGCTTTAAAACTGTAAATATTACTTGAGACATTGGTGGAAAAAATCAGTTTTTTTGGTGCACAAAATTGTTCTTGGAGCTTCAGAAAATTGCAGTTGAATTAAATTGGAGTCACTTTGAATGTTTTTGGTTCCTTTCCTTGACTAATACCTTTCTATAGAGCAGGGGTTCTCAATCTCGGTCCTGGAGGTTTGGTGTCCTGCAGTTTTTAGCTCCCACCCCTATAAAACACACCTGGGCAAGCAAATCAAGTTCTTACTAGGCTTTCTAGAAACATCCTTGGAGGTTTGTTAGAGCAAGATGGAGCTAAAATCTGCAGGACATCAGACCTCCAGGACTGAGTTTGAGAACCACTGCTATAGTGGATGAGAGAGCTCATGGATGTCATCTAAAATATCTCACTGGGGAATTAAAACAACCGGAGTTAGTAATTAATAACAGAACCATTTTTTGTGTGTGAACATATACTTTAAATCCAGTTTGCATTTTAAATTTTTTATTGGATAAACTGAGGAATAATGACACTTATACCCCTTTATTTTTTACTGATTGTTAACAATTTAACACGTTAATCCCACAAATCAACAAAAGCATCGTAGTGTGTATGAAAAGGCTAGATAAAATGCAATGGTTATTTTCATATCTGATCTTTTCAATGCATTCCTCTAATGTGAATCTCCGTGTGCAGGGAGGCAGCCAGAGAGTGTCGCCGAAAGAAAAAGGAGTATGTGAAGTGTTTGGAGAACCGCGTGGCTGTGCTGGAGAATCAGAACAAGACTCTTATCGAGGAGCTCAAGACATTAAAGGACCTGTACTGTGTTAAAACTGGCTAGTGGGAGATCCCTCCAATCACGCTAATGGGACTTTGCTGGCAGACCTGTGTGTCTGCTTATGTGCTTACACAAACACAGACAGGGACTTTTTTCTGGCAAGAGGAATACATTTATTCCTCCTGTCGAATGCTTGTTTTTATACAGCTCATTTTTAACTAATAGCCTAAGAACGATTGACCAGAAACAACAGCAACAATTACGCTTTTAAAAATAGATGGAAAGAGGGATTCGTTTTTTTCCATTAACATATTTTTATTTGCCGTCGACAGATGTTTATATTTGTGTATGTATCTTGTGCAAGCGTTGGCACGTCTACACTGGGAGATCTTGCTTTATTCTTGACCCATTTGGTTTTTCCAGGGAAGTTTTGAATGTTAATTTTATTGAAGCGCTAGCTGAGCGCATTAGCTGTCTGTTGAGGTGACAGACTGGTATTTTTACACCTTATCTCAAATGCGCTTGTATGTATGAAAATTGTGACGCAATTGTGTTTTTTTTTCAAGTCATGCAGCTGTGTTCTTTGCATTTATTTTGTGCTATGTACCCCTTTATAGGAAGCTCTGGCATTCCTATCCCCATTCCGTATTTTGTTTTACGTTTAGTGAGACACTTTCTACAGAGACTGAGCAGATTTTAAGGTGAGGACTTTCAGCTTTACTATTATTGGTAACATTCAAGTCATTAAGTCATTTTAAGCCTTATTGTGGACTGATAGACTAATCATGTAGAATTGAAACCTTTTTAGTCCAAGCCTTGGTAATATGTCTAACTGGTCTTTAAGCTATTCACACACTTGGGTTGGGACCGTGTTGGCTTTTAGCTGAGTAATAGACCCGAGGCTTACCACTGTTTATAAGCCAAGCTGTTACACGACAATCGAATCAGGGAGCATACGATGAAAAACAAAACATACAATGTCACTTGTTTTAGGTAAAGTGAATCTAAATAAATATTTTTCCAGCCTTTAATTGTTTTATCTGTCATTGTTTTAGTTTTTTCCCCCTTTTAATTCCAGTGTTCTTTTGCTTGACTACATGGAGGCCCTTGAAAAAGTCCACTCAGATGGTCAAATAGGAGAAGCAAGGTTAGCTTGTGAGAAACGTTGCAATATATTTAGGGAACGTGATATCTTGGTTGTTGCATTAAAACGTCGGCAGAAGACTTTTAAATTGAAAAGATAGCAGTATAAGTATGTTTTGACCGCATGAAAATATAAGCTAATATTTTAAAATCTCATGTCAAAGAAATTCTAGTGAATAACGTGTTGTATTTTAGTTATCAGCTAAAAATGTTGTATGATCAGATTTCTTCACTCAATCTGAGTTGTGTTAAGGAAATCTGTGTGTGAAAGAAAATAAGTGGTCACAAAGTGTTAAAAGAATAGGATCTGAATTGGACGATATAGGAATATTTTTATAGTTAATTCTGTAAACTGTTTTAATGCTACTATAACCAATATTTTAGTATGAAGGCAAAATAATCACATTTATGCAATGCATGAGTTTCATTTGAATGACACATTCCTCCAAACTGATAGATGGCAGTGTGGCTCTTTTAACTTCACATAATTATCACTAATGGCCTGTTTTATCCACTTACTAAGTCGTGACGCATGGTGTAGTTTCAAGGTCCAAGCCGTTAATCATGAGAAATATATTCATTTATGACCACGTTAAGTCTTCACTTGTTGAACAAACATTCCTTTTTTTCTTTTGTTTTTGGTTAAACATACTTAAAAGTAAGTGAAATGACTAGGGCTTGCTGAAGGAAAACGTGCTTGAGAAAATCTTTGGAAGATTTTTCTATGGAGGTAGTGGGAAATTATTCGTATTCATTATTTTACTGCATAACCAATGATGTGTGGTTTGATCATAAAAAACAGAGGAGCTTGAATGTGCCGTAGTTTCACATCTGAAAATCCAGCATTGTCAATGTCCTTCCATGTAGCACGGATTGCTTCACAGCCATCTTGAAGATAGTACCTGAAAAACATACAAGACTTTCAAACTCCGTAGCGGACCCATGCTTTGTTGCCAACATTTCATTAAGTGAATGCATTCTGGTTATAATATATTACATAATATTATTTTTCTATGTCTAAAATAAACCGTCACTTCCAATTATATGTGTGTAATAAGCATTGGGACACTGGATGTACTTACAGGAGGTAAAGTATTAAACGCATCACCATTTTTTTTCCAGAAAACATTTCTAAAGGTGCTGACGACTTGAAATTTTTACTAGATGACTGTAACAACCAAAGTAATCGTTACAAAAAAAAGCCACTGTGTAAAAAATAATGAAAACAAAAAAATCTATTGAACACATGAAGAAAGGAAGGTGTAAAAATGCATGAAAGGTCCAGACAGCAGCGGAAATATCTCAGTAGTTTTTCAGCAAAACCCTCTACCTTTCGTCAGTGTAAATTAATATTATCTGCCTCAGTACAAACATCTTCGTTACCAGATAATGAAGATGAAACCAGGGTCTAGACATTTCAGCCAATGAAACTAATAATTTAAGAAGATAAAGCTGCTAAAATGGCACAGACAATCGCCTGACTTAAATCCAATATTACATAAATAGGAAATAAAGATCAGAGTTCATAGGCGAAACCGACAGAACTGTCTAGACTTAAAAAATAAGGACAAAATTACACCTGAGCAATGCATGCGGATACATTATCTATACAAGAGGCACCTTAAAGCTTTCATTACCCCCCAAAAAAAGCCTTTTATACAAAGTATTAAATACATTTAATTAGTTGCGGTTACGTAAATTGCCTAGTTATTCCGTTGTTATTGAACATAATACCCTACCAAAATTGTTAGGGTCAATTTCTTGTCAACAGTTCCTTTAAAAATATTCACCAACAGGAAAATCCATGACATGTTCAATACTAATTGTGCCCGCTGTATTTATTCGATATGTTTGTACCAGATGTTCACCAAAATATTTTTCTAAGATCCAACAATATATTTGAAGCATATAAAATGCAGTATTTTTAATAAAAAAAAAAAACTTTTTGTACTTTTTTGGCACTGTATGAATATACTATAATTTTTATTGCCGTAAAAAAACTGACAAGAAACCCTAATATAATGATAATAGGTAAATATTAAGATTTTATGTCACCAAAATGGCTGGAGAACATGCTGAAAAAAGTAAGCCCAGGTTGAAGGGTCTGACACCACATGCTCAAGGAAGAAAAATGCTCCACCCTGAAGAACAAAAAGCAGTATTTAGATTTCTCAACTTTTTTTAAATGTAATGGTGTTAGTGGAATATGACAAAATGCATAAGTATTCAATAGAAATGATAATAGAAACAGCAGTATTTATAACAGGTTATGTTATAACACCAAATGTAATACAGTGTAATAACTTACAGGCCTCAGGACCCTTTTTGCCTCCTGCAGAACTTTGTTGGTGTCTTTGACCGTGCACAGAACCAGAGTGCAAACCACAGCATCCACCGAGCTGTCCTCCACTGCCTGCAGATTCTCCCCCGACGCCACTATGAAGCTGTCGTACACCAGGTGCTCGTTCTTCTCCATACTTTTCTCCAGGTATGTATTAAAATGCGGGTTGGGGTCTGTGCAGGTGATCTTGGAGCCCGTCGGGTAGTGCTCGAAGTTCGCCCCAGATCCGCAGCCCACCTCCAGGATGCGCAAAGAGCCCTTGGAGGGCTGAATTCGCTCCAGGTTTAGGAATAGTTCCCGTTTCTTGTCATTCATTAGCTCATTGTACGCTATCGTGAAACTACTCAAAAGTCGGGGGTAAAGGCGCTTGTAGAAAGACAAAAGTCCCACCCGCTCCCCAACGAACAGCGGCAGTGTGAGGACTTTGCATATGAAAGCAAGAGCGTTCATAAACAGCGACATTTTTAACTCGGGGAAACTACACTTTCGGTTAAGAAGACTAGTCGCGCAGGCGAGCGCTGGAGATCCGGAGACCGGAAGCGCGAACTCTTAAATGCAGCTTGCCGAGTTCCAAAGTTCAGGTTCAGTTCGTGAACTTGGGGATGAGCGTTGGAAACGATTATTAGTATTGTTGTTGTCGTTATTATTAATTTATTACAATTATTATTTATACTGTTAAGTTAGAATCTTAACGACACTGTAATATTAAATGGGTAGCTTATGTTGTCTTTTTAAAACATGTTTATGTAGATCAGAGGTGCTCAAAGTTGGCTCATGGTAACCTTTGATATGGCCCATCATCACATCAGAGAGGAGAGGGAGAATGATGGGGAGGGTTTAGAGATTGTCATTTCAAATTTATTGTGATCTTTATTTTGTTTAAAAAAAAAAGCTTACTGAGATTAAATGTTTCAATTGAAATGGTTTAACTGAATCAGATTTGGATTAAATGTACATGCATACCCAACAGTAAAAGGGAAACGCAAAGACTTTTATGAGCAAATCAAGACAAAGGCAGATTCTGCTTGACTAGTGTAATCAGCATTAAACTTCACTGTTATACATGTGATTGTGTTTATTGCATTTTATTGCAAGTTATAATCTAAAAATATTCTGCATTAGGTAATATGATTTAAGGTAATGTTTTCTATTTATTTATAAATATGATGAATTAGGATATTACCCAATGCAACTTTATTGTAAAATAATTTGGTGTATTTATCTTCGGCCCACGGCTCTCAATATTTAGTTTTTGGCCTTTCATACGTTTAAGTTTGGGCACCCTTGATTTAGATCAAAGTATTTATATGTATGTTTTAAAAACAGATCACATCCTCATAACATATATATATATTGGCAATTAAAAGCATAAGAAAACATAAAGACAAACTTAGTTTAAATTTTCCACTTTTAAGTTCAACTTTTAATATTGGCAAGATATTAAGGTAAATAAAAACAGTGTAGAAGTAATGTTTGGCTATTTTGTTTCTCGAACACACAGTTTGAATGGGTGTGGCAGATTGTTGACTCAGCAGTAAACGGCTACTGGTTGCTGTAACCGACTAACGGTTTTGCTAGCAGCATTCTCCTGCGCTCACACACAGTGCTTTCTGGATACTCAAGCCCGTAGCCAAGGGGGTTCGGGTGGTTCGGAAGACCCACTCCTCATTGAAAAAGGTCCAGAATTTGTTCCATACATGAGCTCATTTCTCCTATTCAGACTACTACTGTACGCCATCATGAATAGTAAAATAACCCATTGAAAAAGGCTTTAAGACCGAGTGGAATCCTCAGCTGTGTTGCTTCGGTGTGACTTCAGCTAATCAGTTTTAGCCAATGCAAAAAAAACATTTAATTTTATAATCTTATGTAAGCAAAGTCTTCTTTTGCTTCTGTTTAGTTTATAAATAGCTAAAATAAATTTACAAGTTACTTTAATTCTAAATCTTGGACCTTATTCTTAAAACAAAAATGACAAATAAAAAGGGGTGAAGCACTAAAGGCAGCCCATATTAAAATAATTTGATTACTATTTTGGCTATTGTTGTTGTAATCCATGAATTTTAAATAAGCTACGAGCTAACCCAGATAAAAATTGTGCTTAAAATGTCACTAAAATGCAGCATTTAAATCTCATAAAAAAAAAAAAAAACGAGGCATATAACCGAACTAAAAAAACTTTTGCATTTATATAATAATTTTGTACGTAACATATTCAATATGTTGATAATGCAGTTTGCCCCTCACAATGAGCTATAAAGTATATCTCTAGAAGACATGTGACCAAAGGAGTTTTCGTATCAGGTTGTAACCTTTTACCAGAGTTTTAATAAAATAACTTAAAAGTGTCTTGATGCAGTAAAATGAAGGAGTTTTCTTTTACATTTTAAATGCTTAATACATTGTTTTAAAATACACAGCAGAATGTCATCATCACATTTCAACCATTTGAAATAACTGTACAAACCATACGCTATTTTGGAAGATTATTGTTCCAAAAGTTTTGATAAGAAAAAAAAAGACAAAAGAAGAGAACAAACTTACATGCAAACAAGTTTTATAGCAGTAACACCGCATTGAACAACACCTTATTATTTGCTTATTACAATGTATTAATAATAGCATAGTTCTTAAAAATTACACATTTATGCTTTATTCATTATGACTATGTTCTATATCTCCTATTCCTACCCTATATATATATATATATATATATATATATATATATATATATATATATATATATAAATGAAAAGTTCAAATGCTAAAACTTCTAAGTGACCCCCTCCCCCACGCTCATATAGCTACAATGCCAGAAAATGTGTGACATGTTTTTCAAGTCCAAGGTCCAAAAAAGAGCAATTAACATCAGTGTCTTTTCTAAAAACACAGAAAAGAATGTGTTTCAGGATGGAATTCGTGAATTATCCTAAAAGAGATTTATTTTGCTTACATTTTAACAAAACGTATCAGGTTTGCAATCAAGGTGTATAACAGGTTCAGCCATAAAAAATATCAGGTAATACTAAATATATATATATATATATATATATATATATATATATATAAATGAAAAGTTCAAATGCTAAAACTTCTAAGTGACCCCCTCCCCCACGCTCATATAGCTACAATGCCAGAAAATGTGTGACATGTTTTTCAAGTCCAAGGTCCAAAAAAGAGCAATTAACATCAGTGTCTTTTCTAAAAACACAGAAAAGAATGTGTTTCAGGATGGAATTCGTGAATTATCCTAAAAGAGATTTATTTTGCTTACATTTTAACAAAACGTATCAGGTTTGCAATCAAGGTGTATAACAGGTTCAGCCATAAAAAATATCAGGTAATACTAAATATATATATATATATATATATTTTCCAGGCATATTTAAATTTAAATAGATTTTAACTACCTATAGCAAGTACAGAAGTATGAAGGCAACATATTAGGTTAATTATAATAATTATTATCATGTTCATGAATATTTACTTGAATTACTGGCTCCTAACCACAAGAGGGCAGTAAATATATATATATATATATATATATATATAATCACACGTTTGTCTACAAAACACGTCACAATAAAGATGATACAAAATACATATCGGTAAATCAACAACATACTATATAGATATTAGTATACGAGTATGTTGTTAATTTACCTATATGTATTTTGTATCATCTTGATAGTGATGTGTTTTGCAGACAAAATAGTAATACTTGTGCAAAAAGATGCAGTTACATTAAATCTACATTGCAATCTTATCTTGAGATTAAGTAATCACTAATGTGCACTGTAAACTTTATGGTGTATTACAAATTGCTCTTTCATAAAAACACATTATTAGTGAATGGTAAAATAAATCAGACCTGATCTGGCAAAATTCATATTCATTACTTGACTGCATAACCAACGATGTGTGGTTTGAGCATGAAAAACAGAGGAGCTTGAATGTGGTGTAACTTTACATCTGAAAATCCAGCGGCCTCAATGTGCTTCCATGTAGCACGGGTTACTTCACAGCCATCGCCAAAGAAGTACCTGTCAAACACAAGTGAATTTTCATCACAATTACTAATTAATCGCACATTTAAAAATTAATTAAAATATTTACACATTCACCTCTATATAAATGTGGCATTATGTATGTATGTATGTATATATGTATATATATGTATATATATATGTATGTATATATATATTTTTCTATATATATATATATATATATATATATATATATATATATATATATATATATTTTTTTTTTTTTTTTTGCTAATTAGCTTAAGATTAATATGAAAATGGATTCAAATGAGAGCTAAAGCAAAGATTATTTTGAAAACATTAGTTTTTTTTACCATAATGGCTCAAGGACATGCTGAAAAAAGTAAGCCCAGGTTGAAGGGTCTGACACCACGTGCTCAAGAAAGAAAAGTGCTCCTCCCTGAAAAACAAAAAACCACAGTATCATTTGCATATCAACCCCAAGGTATACATTTTAATATTTTAAATTGGAATAAAACGATCTATTATTTAAGAACGCTCGGAAACAATAAACAGTGACATTTGCCCTACAGCAAACAACCGTTTGGAATGTTACGTAATGCTGTGACCTTTCCTCTCCTGTGAATGGATTTGACAGTAATCAATGTTGTAAATTCTAAATTGGGAGTTGGGAGTGATGATAAGAGGAGCATTTATGAAATGTAATAACATGCGTTTCACCTGTGCACAAATATCATAAACTCACAGGTCTCAGGACCCTCTTTGACTCTTGCAGAACTTTGTTGGTGTCTTTGACCGAGCACAGAACCAGAGTGCAAACCACAGCATCCACCGAGCTGTCCTCCACTGCCTGCAGATTCTCCCCCGACGCCACTATGAAGTTGTCGTACTCCAGGTGCTCGTTTTTCTCCATACTTTTCTCCAGGTATTTCTTGAAATGCGGGTTAGGGTCAGTGCAGGTGATCTTGGAGCCCGTCGGGTAGTGCTCAAAGTTCGCCCCTGATCCACAGCCCACCTCCAGAATGCGCAGAGAGCCTTCGGGGGGCTGAAATCGCTCCAGGTTTCGAAATAGTTCCCGTTTCTTGTCATTCATCTTGTTATTGTACCAGTCCGTGGCTTTATATTGAATCATAGGAAATACGCGTTTGAAGAAAGACAAAAGTCCGACATGCTCCGCGATGTACAACGGGAGAATGAGGACTTTAAACGAAAGAGCGCACGCGTTCATAAAACGCGACATTTTTATGAAAAACTACCAAACCTAAACAATGTTATATTTGAAAGAAAAAGATAGGCGTGGCTTACTGCGGGAACGTCATGTTCAGTTTCAAGTAGGACAGTCCCGCTATCTGAACTTTGAATTCTAGTGCGCGTCTACTCGGTATTGCGCGGTAGATTAAAGATGCGTGTGCGCTGCCGTCTCATCATTTATTTCCAGTTTTATTCGCATTTGATTTATCAAATTAGCACTATAAAAGCGTGTCATATTTATCGATATTCATGATTTTTCATGTATGTGTTAAATCCGTCTGTTTTTGCTATAATTATGTGTAATTTGCGGCTTTTACCACTGCATTATCATCAAAGCACATCATTATTCCATAATACATTGCATAGTTTGTTTATAATTGAGTTTTTTTTTTTCCAAAAACAAATACAACAAAAAGGTACAGAACTTACTGGGGTGGTACCTTTTTAAAAGGTACACCTTTTGTTCCTTAACCGTTTATTTACCCCATCTTGAAAAAAAAAAGTTTAGATTGCATTTTTAACTCCGAATACCACTAGTTAACACACTCAATTCGTTTTCCTGAAAATATGAAAGAACAATTTATGTAAAAAAATATTCAAAATAAAACACTTTCGTATACTAATTCACCTTTTTTTTTTTAAGTATGACAAAATATTTTCGATTCTTGTTTAACATTTTTAATAGTTGTGCAACAGGATGGTTGTTTGATTATTTTTTTGTAAACTAACAATGCTGTGTGTGTAAACCATTATTTGAAACAGCCATTTAAATGACATTCACAGTCATTGAATAAAACAGTAAAAACATGGTCAACCGTTTGGTAGAGGGGCAGTCAAAGGGTTAAAGGGCCTCATGTGTACCTTAAATGTACATATTAATTCATAAAAATACAAATAGTTATCTCATAATACTGTAAAATACAAGCATGTACAAAATTGTAATTTTAAGGTACTAATGTGCAAATTTAAGGTATAAAATTGTACCCTTTAAAAAATACCACTCCATTGAGAGGTTCTGCACCTTTATTTCTGAGTATAGGTTACAGTTGATCATTACACAATAACACAGTGTTTTTAATTTTTCTAATTAAATGAATATAGATTAATTTGTGCTTGGGCTCTTGTATATCTGAAATAATATGGTGAGTGTATCATGTGTGTATATTTAAACTTACTTTCTGATACATTAACCAAAAAAGTAAAAAAAGTATATCTATTAATAGGACATTTAATAATGTGGAAGCGTATCATCTGCATCAGGAACAACAGGTGCGTAAAACTGCCTGGGTCATAAAACTGCTTAGATCTTGCAGATGCCCCACATTAATATATATATATATATATATATTAAATTAAGTTTTTATTTTATATTTTATGTGGATTTAAGACAACAAAATCCATATTCATATTGCCAGGATTGGGCAAAATATAGCCTATTGAAATTAATTTTAAAATAAAATACCTTAAGTTCAAGTGTATCAAAATAAACTACAAAATACAGCAGTCACAAACATGTCAAAATAAAATACAGCATTTTTAATACTACGAAATACTTCTAAAAAGGAGTATGACATATGACACCCCATTTTGAAAAAAAAATATTTTGATCCATTTCCAGTAAATATAGGCAATGTATTTGGGTGCAGTTGAACAAAACAGATTCATTAAACAGATATATTTATTAAAATAATATTTCCGTCACCAAATATATTTAGAAATTCAAAGATAATACAATTAAATACAAAAAATTACAACCTACAACATTTCAACAAAAAATATCTTTTTTTTTTTTTGCTTCTCTTGATTTTTCCTTTTTAAATTCGTATTTAATATTTTTCTATAGCATATAAATTTGAGTGTTCTAGTTTCTGGAGCATTATCAAAAGTTATTTTGTTAGATAAGCTCCAGATTTGGCTTCAGTACTGACTAATCTAATGTATATGCACAAGTATAATATTGTGTAGCTTCCTACTAAAAATATGAATTTATAAGACAGATTTGTGAGGGGTGTACTCATATATGCTGAGCACTGTATGTTGTAATGAGTTCCCACAGCCACAGACAGCATAAAAATATCCGGTAATGAGAAAATAATCTTTTCCAGGCATATAAAAAACTATTAATGCATTTTGTACTAAAAATACATTTGTCAAATTCAGTTGGAGCATCTAGAAATGACTTTTCATAAATAGAGCCTTTTTAATTGCATTTCTTAAATTTTATGTGAATAAAAATAAATTATTGAACCAAAATCAAACATAAAATAAGGAAATTCAGTGGCCAGGAAATCAAACTGTCAATCAAACTGTTAAAGGTGGACAATGCTTGTGGTGCTTTTAACTATTTTAGCAAGTACAGAAGAAGTTAAAATTAAGTTTATTTTTCTTAGTGATTCACCCTGACCACTAGATGGCAGTGTTGCTTTTTTTAACCATATTCTCCCAATGCCTGTTTTATGATGAATGTTTTTCATTGGTTCACGTTTGTGTTTTTGTCGGCTTCAGTTATCATGCGTTTTGCAGACTCATGCAGCAAGATACAGTTTTATAAAATATACAATGCAATCTCTATTCATGGTAAACAAACTATATTCTATGGCATGTAACATTGCTCATAGAAAAACATTTAAAAGTGCATGGTGAAATGAATCAGGCTCACTAAACGAAAACACACTTAAGATTTTTTTTGTATGTTTGGCAGAATTCATATTACTATCGATTATTTGACGGCATAGCCAACGATGTGTGGTTTGATCATGAAAAACAGAGGAGCTTGAATGTGGCGAAGCTTCACATCTGAAAATCCTGCAGCGTCAATGTCCTTCCAAGTAGTACGGGTTGTTTCACAGCCATCGCCAAAAAAGTACCTGTCAAACATACCATTTATGGCGTTATATATGGTGATCATATGGTTTGTTATACTAGTATTCCATCATGTTTATTATATAGACACATGACCTTGGGTTAAATATGGAAGATCAAATATACTATGCGCTACATCCATGATTCAAAAAAAGTTGAGACCCTTTCTAAAGTGCAATGAAATAAATCATCTGTGATTTGTCACTTCTCTGTAACTCTTATTTATAGTACAAATAACAGTTTTCAAGAGCTTTAACTGACAAATGAAATGTATTTTTGATATGAATTGCTGCTATACCCTCCAAAAAGGTTAATAGTAGTTAAATTAACAGTTAAAAAAAGTGTAACCCCCTTTTCACTTTTATTTATCTTTAACTGAGTAATAACAATTGATTACATTTAATTACTATATGGTTAGGGTTAGAATGTGGTTTAGGTTTAGTTGCATGTAAATATGCATAATTACTTGTAATTACTATAGAAAGTACATAGAATCTATGACAACCTATTACAATCAACATCAACACGGCTCAACAATAAGGACTGCTGGATGGCCCAGGGTCAGCATGAGAGACGCTCGGGACAGTAGACAGAATCGTTACTGGCCTGATCAGTGCTGCCTTGTCACTAAAGTTTCATTTTTCGAAACCTGGTAACAACCAGCACAGTGAAGAGACAGCAACATGGCGGCAAAATCAAATTATGAGGCTAAAAGAAAACATTTGTTTCTAACGTCTTAGAAGCAGACATTTACATGGGTACAACATGACAACGAAAAAAATGAAGTGATGTTTTGCACTGTTTGCCGCCAGTTTTGGAAGTCAGCCACCTTGTTTTAAATAATTTAGAAGCGGCAATAAAATACCTGCACATTTTCCATACTGCTCTTTTTGTTTGCATGAGACTTTGAATTTAGCTCATTATAGATTTATTAACATTTTAAAAATAATAAAATTCTAGATTTATGGACATTATTTTTTGACACAATATTTAAAATATGTGGCTAAGGAATAGCTATTAACTTTTTTGTGTGTGGGGCAAGTGAAAATATTTACAGGCGAAGTAAAAATCTCAACAACTGGTCCGATCCGGCCAGTAGAAAAAAATCCTTAGCGTTGTTCCCTGATCAAGATGATGTCTTTAATAGGAAGTTAAATGTTATGAGTTGCATCATTTCTCATTCTGCATGAACTACAATTGCATGTTTTTGGGTTCGCGTGCTGGACTGACCCATTATGAATAGGAGAATCAGACAACGACCACAGAATGTTATTTTTTGATTGTCAAATTTCATGGTAAAGCATGCTATTTCATGGTGGCGCAGTGGGTAACATGATCGCCTCACATCAAGAAGGTCGCTGGTTTGAGCCTCGGGTAGGTCATTTGCAATTACTGTGTGGAGTTTGCATGTTCTCCCTGTGTTCGCGTAGGTTTTCCCTGGGTGCTTCGCTTTACCCCACAGTCCAAACATATGCATTACAGGTGAATTGAACAAGATAAATTGGCCATAGTGTATGTGTGTGAATGTGTGTACGAGTGTTTCCCAGTGTTGGGTTGCAACTGGAAGTCATCTGCTGTGTTAAACATATGCTGGATAAGTTGACGGTTAAATCCGCTGTGGCGACCCCTGATTAAGAAAGCGATTAAGCCGAAAAGAAAATGAACATGCTATTCATTTTTGAAGTTTGAGCAGCAATCTCAATTCACAGAATAAAATTATTTTTGGTTAATTAAAACTTTACAAATCTTTTCTTTGTAATATTTTCAATTAAATGTGGGCCAAAGAGAATAAACAGATCAGATATTCTTGCCTTTATTGCACTGTACAAAATGACCCAACTCTGAATTGGTATTCAACTAAACCAGTCTAATCCTTTAACTACATTTTAAAAAGCTGTGATTTCAATTATGTCTCTCAATTAAAATCTATAATAGTGACTTTGTAAACAGTGTTTTGTATTACCAGAATGGCTGAAGAACATGTTGAAAAAAGTAAACCCAGGTTGAAGGGTCTGACACCACGTGCTCAAGAAAGAAAAACGCTCCTCCCTGAAAAGCAAAAGAATATTTATATTTCTCAACCCAATATTGTGCATTTGAATATGTGCAGATCTATTTATTAAAAACACTTAGAAAAGACCACCTGTTTGCTGACATTTGCCCTAAAACAAACAGCGTGTTCTAATGGGATTATCAGAGCAAACGGTGAGTTGCGTAATGCTGTCACCTTTCCTCTCATATAGATTTGATTGTAATCATTACTCACTCTTTGTTGCAAATTGCTCTAGAGTAACGATAAGAGGAGCATTTATGAAATGTAATAACATGTATTTCACCTGTGCACAGGCTGTCATAAACTTACAGGCCTCAGGACCCTCTTTGCCTCCTGCAGAACTTTGTTGGTGTCTTTGACCGAGCACAGAACCAGAGTGCAAACCACAGCATCCACCGAGCTGTCCTCTACCCCCTGCAGATTCTCCCCAGACGCAACTATGAAGCTGTCGTACACCAGGTGCTCGTTCTTCTCCATACTTTTCTCCAGGTATTTCTTGAAATGCGGGTTGGGGTCTGTGCAGGTGATCTTGGAGCCCGTCGGGTAGTGCTCGAAGTTCGCCCCAGATCCGCAGCCCACTTCCAGAATGCGCAGAGAGCCTTTCGAGGGGTAAAATCGGTCCAGGTTTCGGAATAGTTCCCGTTTCTTGTCGTTCATTTTGTCATTGTACGAGAAGGAGATTTTATAGACAATGATAGGAAAGACGCGTTTGTAGAAAGACAAGAGTCCCGCCTGCTCCGCGATGTACATCGGGAGCACGACGAGTTTGCAGAAAAACGCGCACAAGTTCATAAACAGCGACATTTTTATATGACTATCAAATCTGAATCATGTTTGATAGACGAGAGAGGCGTCGTTTTGGACCTTGTGACAGTCAACCAATCAACATCTTCGACGCATGTATTGCATTACAGTCAAAGCAATGCTCCAGTTCGTCGGCAGATGTCAGACTTGTATAAATAATTTCAGTGTTTACAGTGGGCTACTCATTTCCACTGTTTTAATTTTTTTCCTTCTTAAAAATTTAGGAATATTTTTATATATTGTTATAATTTAAACATGTGCTTCAAAATAAATGCACAGAAAATGCATTTAATTAATAAAATAATACCAAAACAACAAATGTACACTTTTTTTTTTTTTTTTGCACAAATTGAAAAACAAGCTCAATATAGTCAAATTACAAAACTGGAATAGTTTTAATCATCAAAACTAAGTGTTTTGTGAATGTTTGTTTTAATGTATAAAATACTTGAGATTCCCATTTACATTAACCTAAAATGTATATTATATACAAATAAAGCATGTAAATCTGTATATTAATGTAAAAATGTAAAAATGTAAGAATTACACATCAAATGTTAAAAAAAATCTAGCAAGACTTTGAATAAAAGCAGAAAACAAAGCAGAAATTACCATAAAACAACAACAACAAATATACACTTTTTTGCACAAATTAAAAAACAAGCAGGAAATATGGTCAAACCATAAAACTGGAATAATCTTAATCATCAAAACTAAGTGTTTTGTCAATGTTTATTTTAGTGTATAAAATACTTAGGATTCCCATTTAGATTAATTTAATTATAACTATTTAAAATGTGAAAATAACAACACATTTTTAAAAAGTCTTAGCCAATCTTTTAACAGAAGTAGACAATAAAACATAAACTTGAATTTATTTTGTAGAAACACAAGAAATGTTTACTGACAATTGGCTTAAAATTATTTTATATCCAGAAAATACACATAAAAAAACTAATTCAGTGCTAATAAATCACCCAGTGACACTAAAATGGCATTGGCTAATAGCCTACCAAGCAAAAGCTTATTCTAAATGGAGAGGTCATCTCATTAGGTTTAATATGCTGAGTTCACATGGCCAGACGGACACTATGGTTTATCTTGGTAACCACATCAATTATCGGACCGTATAAGATCGTTGCCATATGAGCCATAGCAATAATACTTCAACAATTATCACAAACAAATAATACTGTGCACCTACAAACGTAACTATACATTTTATGTCTGATTGCATCCTATTGTTCAAATGAATATGATTCATTGAATATGATATGAACTATTAAAATAATTGATTTATTGCATTTACTTTTTCATAACAGATTTATAACCATTCCTAATTTTTGTATAGCGCTTTGCTATCTTTCTATTCATCCTCCTGTCAGTTGCACTTATCCCTAATCAGGCCCTCCATAGTGACTGAGATTAGGATTGAGGATTTCTTACTTGAGATTAGGTTTACAGTAATATCTTAAACACTGTAAGCTCCTCTAAAACTTGCAGTTGTATTAATCTTGGTTTGTTCTGCAGAAGGTGTGATCACGTGAAGGTGCCTCTGTGTTCTGTCTGGCTTCTTTTTAAAGTGGCTTCAGTGAGCAAACACTGTCATGGCTGGTGGTGCATTGCACAGCAAGGCTTCGTCCACTTGAGGCTCATCAGCGAGGACTGGAAAAGATGCTCAAGTGGCCCAGAAGGGGGAGTTGATGTAGGCTAAAAGTCTAAAGCTGTTGTTTCCTTTCACCTCCTAACAGGATTAGAGGAAGATTAACTACTGCCCGCAACCTTTGACCACACAGTATCTGCTTCCATGACTGCACTCCCACAGGGCTTGAACCATATCCTTAAAAATGTAGGACGTTTTTACAACAGTGCCCTAGAAGTATTGTTTTTGGTTCTCTAAAGAACTTTATTTTTATTTATCTTTTATTCTCATGTGAAGGACAAATGTTTTATGCATATTAATGATTTCTCATTTAACCACACTAAGAGATTATTATTATTAATTATCAGGTTCTGTATATCTTTTGATAGATTTTTCTCATTTGTTTATGGCTATGAGTTGCATTATGGGACTTTCTCAAGTTTTGATGTTGAAAATTCAACTCTCCAGTTTAACAATGTGACTTTTATTGAAGTTTTAGATGTTTGAAACAATATAATGTATAATAAGTAATGTATATAGAAGTAAGGCTGTAAAATACAGAAAAACTGCTGACAATTTTTTGTATCATTTCACATTAGGGCTGCACAATATATCGTTTCAACATCAATATCCCAATGTGTGCATTCGCAATAGTCACATCGCATAGATAGGCAATGTTGAGTTGATCATATTTGAGCAAGTCTCAGTTCAGAAAATGAGATTTATGGAGTTCTTGCAGAGTTTAATCGTAATTAATTTTATAATTTGCATGTTTTTAAGGCTTGAGGTGTGTTCAGGCACAGGACATTTTACCAATTGGAAGTTAAATAGGAAGTTTATTAAGGGGATATTAAAGAATAATCATATTAAATTATTTATACAATGAATGCATTGCAGTGTAATTTTTACATGTCTAAAACCACAAAACATGCACAGCTTATTTCACTTTATTCTTTGCTTTATTGAATTTTTCTATGATTGTTATTCGTTTATCGCGTCCATAGCCAGCCTATTGAGGGGTTGTAGTCTTTCAAAAGTGGAGCTTTTTGCAGTTATTCACTTCATTTTGTATTTAATTATGAGGTTTAAATTCTGCATTTTAGTGACATTTTAAGCACTAATCATTGCTGGATTAGCTTGTCGCATGGTGATCATAACCACACCTTTTTGATGCAACAAAAATATTTTCCACATTTTTGTCAAAGTGCTTACCATACTATTTTACCACAAAGTGTTTATTTACAAATGTGCATTTGAACTGTAAAGTATTACAGTTTTATAAGTAATGTAATGAGATTATTAGACAAATTTTAAACAAAGATACATCAAAAATACTTATTTTTTAAAATATAAATTTATTATCATCCATCGTTTAAAACAAAAAACAATTAGGAATCTGTTTTAAACTTGTTTTATGTCACCTAGACAAACAAAAAAAAGCTGGCCAGCTCATTTTCCCGGTCAGAATTTGTCCATTTGGATAATTAAAAATGTAATTTGTCTTAAAGCTGCCTTCTATTGCTTATTTTCACAATTTATGATGTCATACTGTGAAAAAGGTGATAAATGAGCTCATATAGCACCCAAATTCTGGACATTGTCAGTAAGGGGGGGTTGGTCTTTTGAACCACACAAACCCCCTCTGGCTACGGGCCTGTTTATTACATTTTATGCATGATTCACTCGTCCCAGCAGAATAATATCAATCAATAAAGGTGAATACATTTGATAACACTTTATAGATGTATTCACATCAACTAGTTGCTTATTAGCATGCATGTTATTGAAATATTGGGTGCTTATTAGTACTTAAAAACTATATTTTCTGCATGATCTTATTCTACATCATAGCCAATACCTAAAATACCTTAGTAATTATTGAGAAAGAGCAAATGAAAAACTTATTGAAGCAAAAGTCATAGTTAATGGTATGCTAATAACAAAAAGGAACCTCAAAATGAAGTGTGCCTAAATTCTTTCTAAATAGTGCCATTCAATCAATTCTTTAGATGCAGTGTATCACAAAATATCACTTTAAAAAAAAAAAAAACATTGCAATGTCACATTTTTCTAATTTTGTGTGTCCCTAATTCACATTATTAAAAATTATTAAATAAATTAAAAATTATTAAATAAATTTCATAATTCCTACATTTTTTATAGTGCATTAAAGCCAATTAAGAACCCTTCATTTCTAAGTCTAACTTAACAAATGCAAACAGTGCAGTTCTCCAAACATCAAAGATCCCATTGAAGCCTGGAATAGCTTTCTCAACTCATTGTAAACAAAACAAAGTTGCCTCAACTTAAAATTTGAAGACTCAATTTTTAACCCAATTACTTCACTTGACTCGATTTAAGTTGACTAAACTAAAAATATCAATAATGTTTCAATAATTTCAATAATGCTAGTTTAGATTAATATATATTAACAAAATATCTTTGTCATAAAATCTTTGTCATGCATTTATGTAGATAATATAATATAATATAATATAATATAATATAATATAATATAATATAATATAATATAATATAATATAATATAATATAATACAATATAATATAAATAATATAATATAATATAATAAACTGTTTTAGCTTTAAGTTAATACTTAATGAGTAAATAATAATAATAATAATAATAATAATAATAATAATAGTAATAATGATGATGACAAACTGTAATTTGCATATGTGGTCATATGCTGCTTAATTAATGCAGAAACTAATATTTTAGGCTTTTTGTATGAAAACCTGGCAGATCATTAAAGAATTCTTTATTCAAACAAAATGTCTTTAATTAACCCTTTACAAATTTGAGACGATTTAACCATTTTTGAGACATAAATGAGAAGATTAGTTGAAATTTCTAAAGGAGGGGTAAGTATAATTAGACTCGCAACATTGGGATTGATACTGCCTTTTAGCGCTGTTTCGCTTACGTTGCAGCGTTTGCTCGGTCAGTACGGAAGTCGGAAGTAGGGTACTTGCAGACGCTCCCTAACAATTTGCTGAGAGTCATCAATTATGCAGGCTAGCCGTACGCACTGGGAAGGAAGATAGCGGCAACAATATGGCGACATCCGCAGTTTCTCCTGGGTCTTTTAAACATCCTTAGGCACGCGAGATCTACATGGATCGCTCTTAATGCGGAAAAAGTGAGTAGACTTTTTGTTGTCTACAGCGCAAGTATTGTGTTTTTTTTCAGGTGTTTATAGCCCGTTGTGAGCGTGTCTCATACCTGGACTCATCTGCCGCAGAGCGGTCTCTCGCGCTCAGCATCTTTTCTGCTCACAGATGTGGATGGGCTTACTGCAGGAAACGCTGGAAAACAAGCCAGCGCTACTAACAGCAACTGTACTGCTTAAACAGAGGGCATGCTAAAGAAAGAAAGTCTGGCTGAGGTAAAGCAGGGTGTTGGCCTGCGCTGGAAACATAACATTAGAGCGTGTGTCTGTGGCGAAATGTAGAACATACGCATAGCATGGGACAGGCAAGTCAGACCGCCGCAAACTTTATTGCATGGGGAAATCGTGCAGACAGACTGGCGCATTCAGCATTCAGGTGTCGTTTGTGACAGTATTTCGTAACGTAACATGTCAAAATCACTAATGTGGCAGTTTTTAGTCCCCCTGCGCCTGCATTCCCCCTCCCTTCGAGTCACTCTCGCCATACTTCTTTGGGCTGGACTCCCTCGAATTGGTGCGTTTCCGTTTTTGCGGTTAAGAACGGGGACTACCACCCTGTTTTTGTTTTTTTTCGCCCACCCAGTCCTCCCTCATAATGATGATGAGCCCGACCGTATGCGCGGATGCGGCTTAAATCACAGAGGACGGGCTGACTGCACGGGTGTGGTGCTGAAGCGGACAAAAGTCCCAAATGTTCTAGAAGTGCTTTAGATGTCGGTGCAGTTGAAAACTGCTGGGATAGAAACTGGAGACGTACAATAAAGCACAGCAGGCACGACTGTCTGAGACGTCATTGGCGTTGAGATTTAGATGTTTCACAGATTGATTCGCTGGCGCACGAGCTACCCTCAGCTCCACTGCAGTATTTCAGCCGGGGCCCACGCGTGTACCTACCGATGCCATAATAATTACCGCAAACAAACTTGGGGACACTGATCTGTGCATCCCGTAACATGCAGCGCCTTCAGATGCGCAAAGCTTGTCAGGGGGAGAAATTGCATAATACGCGTGAGGGGCGGTAGTATTGATCAAGCGATCGCAAAGTCTTTGGGAATCAGTTGCTTTGAAATGAGGAGAACCGCTTTTCTGAATGAGCCGATAAACAAACATATCGCAAAGGCAAAATAAGCCGTCAGACAAGGAGATATATGTGTGCTGAAATACAAAAGGGAGAGTTTTGAGTCAGATTTGAAGGCCTTTATTCTCCACACGGGATAGGCCGGCGAGGTTCGTCCTCGTGACAGCTGTGCTGCTCCCTCCCTCAGTGTACAGCCGAGCTTTCACTCTCCAAATCATTTGGTGAAAGCCGACAAATACGGAAAAGACGCTATAGTCGGGATGTTTCATCAGGGCTGGAGGGTCTGTTTTTTTCTTCATCCTAAATCTCCTCAACTAGAGGACACGCGTGAGTGAGTGAGTGAGTGAGTGAGTGGTGCTGAACGGACAGCGCCGCGGACACTCGTCATTCGACGGCGTCAGAAGGCTGTGGACTCCAGCTTCCTTTTGCTTAATAAGGAATACCTCCGCGATGCTAACGGAAAGTGCTATTTACCGGAGATGATGAGAGTTGGCTATGACTTTGCGTGAAGGCACGTAAGTTGTTGTCGAATGGCGTCGGCATTTAGTTTTAATGTGTAGCTGTGTAACGTGGAGGACGCAGCCGTGTTGGTTAAACAGCAAATATATTTTTCTATAACCAGTGCTGGCAAAACGCCGTAGTCTATAAGGAAGCAAATGCAGTAGTTTTGTTAAGGTCATTGCGTGTGTGTATGTATTGTCAGGGCCTGTCTATCTGATGTATCACCTTGAGCTGAGGCGTCTCTACAGTATCCCAGGAAGGAGACTTGGAGGTTGGACACAGAGCCGGCGTGTAACTTAAACCGAGCGTCATAGGGTTTACTCTGTATTTCGTTTGTCAAAACCAAATGATTACTGTGTTGGGTGTATTCATTTTCATACTGTTGTTAATGTTTTCTTAAGTAGGCTACAGTTTTAAAATACTTTTAATGTGAGTTATTTAATAATAAAAAAAATGTTCAGCGCATAAGTATTTATCAAACAGTAGTATTTATTCTATTGTTTCCCAGAAATGGGTTGTCTAATTATTGAACTGTAATACTCGATCAGACAACAATAATTGAAATTTACACTAGTGTAAAGTGAATAGCTACTTGATCTCTGAAGCAAGATGTTTAGAATAAGCTATTTCAATTATGTGCCGAATATTGATCAACTCAATAGATATTTCTTCGTTAGACACAATTTTTTCTTAATTTTTAATTTAATTATTTTGTGTAACAAATATCAAATAGATTTCTAATAAATATCTAATATTACTTACAATTAGATGCTTTAAAGCAGGGGTGCTCAATCCTGTTCCTGGAGATCTACCTTCCTGCAGATTTCAGTTGCTACCCATATCAAACACACCTGCCTGTAATTATCAAGTGGTGTTCAGGTCCTAATTAATTAGTTCAGGTGTGTTTGATATGGGTAGCACCTAAAATCTGCAGGAAGGTAGATCTCCAGGAACAGGATTGAGCACCCCTGCTTTAAAGTAACTTTAAATAAACGCTAGTTCACTAATGTTCGATGAGTGCATGTTATACTGATACTGATCATACTGATCCTGCATGTTTCAATTGTTAGTAGTTCATCATAAAAAGTCGTTAATTAAACTGACTCAGCTATTAATA